AGTTTGTATTGCCTTTGCCTTTTGATTCATTAACTTAAGATACATTGTTCCAAAAGAAATATTTTGAATATGTTGGGTTTTTTTTTGTATAATGTAGAACAGTGTCATATAATATATGCACAGTAGTTTAAGTGCATTCTTATAATTACATGAAAAATAAGTTTTAACATAATAATTTTTATAACCACATTGTCATGAATTTGGTCTTCAGAATAGTTTACTACTACTACTGTTTTGTTACATTTGATAAGAACAGAATTATATACTCAAAATGAGAAGTATTTATTTCTATATTAATTCTCATTAGAATCACTGCATCTAAATTGTATTTCAACTTACATTTAAAAATATTTTCTCATATTTTTTTCTATTTTATTTTTATCCTTTATGTTATGCTCTTATATCCCAATTATATAAATTTCAGTATCTATGTATGTTGCTGTGTTGTGAAATCCCTGCTTATTTTCTTTAAAACTACAAAAGAAATAACATCACTGGAGTAATATATTGGCTGACTTGGTGATGTAAAGGAAATGACCATTGCTTATTCTGGTAAGTGATACCACTAGTATTGAATCCAAATTTAGCAAAAAGTAAAAGGTAGTTTAAAGTCATATTGCCTATCTTTCTCTCATCACATTTTATTAGGATATTTCTGTGCATTAGCATTGGATTGAAAGGATACCTCTCTGCCTTTTTTGTAATTGTATTGCTGAATGAATGGCAACTATTGATCTACATCCGCTTTTGAAATGGGTAATTAATGCATGTTCATTTATTGTCTTACTAGTGGTGAGGACACTAATATCCTTTTCTCAACTTTTTTTCCATCTCCCTTGAGATACAAGCAGCTTGCAGCATTTAGAGACATATTTAGTGGGCATGGTGGAGGTAGTTTGATGGTTGTACTTGATCTGAGAGGTCTTTTCCAACTTTAATGACTCTATGTTTCCATAGAGTGCTGTCCCTATTGAGTGTTCTGTAATATTCCGTTTTGATTAAAATGGGTTTGGATCAATATGAGGACTTTAAGATATGTGACAGATTGTGGTCTTTGGTTCAGAATGCCCTCTCTTCCAGGTCAGAAGACCCAGGAAATCTCTCTGGGGAAACTGCAAGGTGTGAGACAAGACAGCTGAAGAAACATGTGGGAAACAATGTAGTTTTGACGTTGTTTCTCCAAATAAACAATAATTACAGAATTCTGAATCCATTTATTGATCAGTGACTGTGAGTATGAGCTGGGTGCCTGTGGGATGTCATTACATAGAAAATGACAATAGAAAAAAACAAAGGAGTTAGAAAAAAAAAAAAAAAAAAAACCTATTACTTAGCTGCTAAGTGAAACTTATTAATCTTGGCAAGTTTTCAAATTATAACCAGTTTGAGTCCCTGAAAACATGATTAGATATACTAACAATTAATTTTGTTCTTTAGGTTAAGGAAGTAATACAGTATTTTATATTGGATTTACATTAAATTGTTTCCCTGATGTGCCTAAAATGCAGGCATAAGGGTATCATTGGAATCTGTGTGCCATGGGTAGATGTGTGAAAAACTGTTTCAGATTTTTATTTAGTATTCAGAGGAAGAAGCTGTCTGTTAGTTGCCTTTTTTTTTTTTTTTTTTTTTTGTCAAATTGGACTTGGGGAACAGCTGCAAGTCATACGGTTTCCTGGTTCTTGAGAACTTTCAGTTATGCCTTTTTTAAAATAAAGATTTGTCCATATGAGGAACAGCAAGGTCTGTTAACCTTTCTTGCAGCATGCTATTTCTGAGCCAATTATGAAGATGTCTAAAGGCATCAAATGCTCTTTGTAACAGTAACTTGTGATTTGGGATTATAATGGCCAACTGAAGAACTTTCTCTGTGGTTAAAATATTTGTGCTCACAATATATTAAAAACAAGGGCAACATTGATTTTTTTTTTTTTTTATGAGCTAAAGTACTTCTTGGATTTTTTCTTTTAGTTATCATGATATATTAATAACTATAGCAGCAGCAGAAGCAGCAGAATATTCTTAAGTGACTTGGATTTTGATAATAAAGCCTTGAAAGCTGTGCTAAGCTGTCAATCTAGTTTTTTATTGAGATTTTGTTGATGTTCAAAGAAGAAAGGCTGTGTCTTAATCAAAGAAATATGTTCCTACTGGTATGAGAGAGCTGACAACTCATTCTGAATGAAATCTTCAGTATGTTTAGCTGCTTTGACTTTGTAGAGAATTGCAGCATAAATGTTCTGTGAAAGTGATTTGGGAACATAAATTTAATTGTCAATTTGTTGTTCTTATAAAAATTAAATTTGGGTAGATTGACCTGACTAGTGCTTGTGCTTCAAAAGAATTCTTGCAGAGCCTCACAGCAGCAGTGCCACTGCAGCCATAGGATTGTTTTTGTACTGGCTTTGTAGTATAAAGCAGTCATCCAGAAAAAGGGGGATCAGGGGAAACAGTTCCCCTTTCCATTGGGAGGAATTCAGGTACACTGTGTTCACAACTATGGCAGAAACACAGGAAACTAATAATCAGATAAGAATTTGTCACCAGGTTGCCAGAGCACTAACAATGTGAAGAGGCACTTTTGTATTGTTTGAAGTCTGGTAAAAGTCTGAACTTTTAATTATGTTGTTTAAATTACTAACAGTAGTTGTCCACTGCTTTGTTCACATGAGCAAAGAGTACCATGAAACTTGCATCCTTTGGCTACAAAGGTAGTGGTTAATGTGTGGCATCCTAGTAGCTTCATACCAGAACAAGAGATTCTCAAATCTTTTTGTTACATATAGAATAAGAAAGCGTGGATACTAAACTAGATTATTTACCATCTGGCTTATTTGATAAATGCACAAAACAGTTTTCCTTCTGTCTACCAAAGCTCCTTTGATGTCACTGACTGTGCCCAAAGACACTAAAATCGTAAGATAGGGACATGATGCAAAACAGTCTCTGTTGGAGAGACGTTAGATATACGCTGCCAGAAAGAAACTAGCTACCGGCCAGTAGCTTTCCACGGTATGCCAGCTTCTTGGTCCTTGCGAAAAGCTAGTTGGTTTGGGGGTTTTTCTTATCTATCTCAAATCAAAAAGAGTCCTTGAGATGAAATCTTAACTGAAAAGACTGCTCTTACTAAAGGCAAATTCAACTTTTTTTCTAACTCTGACATCTTATGCCATCTCTTGTTCCTCTTTCTGCTTTTGACTCCTTTTTATTTTATCTTTCTTGACTTTACTTTATTCATTCACCTTATAAAATAATCAAGGATACAGAATTCAACAAAACTACACTCTTGGTTAAGAAGGATTTCAATTTTTATTATAAAGCTAAATTAAGAGCTGCTTAATGCTCATGGTTTAGTGTTTTAATAAAAGAGGAAACGAAAAAGTTGACAGAGCAAAGAGAAATACATTTCAGCTATGTCTCTTACTTGAAGTCTTAAGTGTTGCTTAGTTTGGACTATTTATTATTTTTTACTAAAGTCTTTATTATATAGTGAGTAAGCTTTTCATAACTTTTTTTCTTTTCTCTGAAATTACTGAATGGTGTACAGCAAGATGTTGTGTACTCTTCTACCAGAATACTTTGATAATTTAATGACTACGATTGTGCTTGTTTAGTGCCCCGAGCTGGCAGTACTCTTTAATCTGTAGCCTGGAAGAGGGCATATTCAGATTCTGTGTCATGATAGGTATATAGCTGAGAAAGCCCAATGCATCCTTTAAAAGGGGGTAGGAGGAAGAAAAAAAGAAAAAGAAAAAAAAAAGAAAAGGAAAAAGAAAAAGAACATGGATGTGTGGATGTGCTGGCTGGCAAGAATTAATCAGTTATGTGTTTCTTTGAAAGTTTTTTGAAATATCTCACTGTAAATATTACCTAGTTTTATTCTCTAAGAATTTAGATGGATGTTCAGCTGGAACAAATTAGTTCTAATAGTTCAGGCAGTGCTTCCATTAAAATCCCGATCTTTCTGAACTTTCATATTTTACATCTTTTTTTACAAGGCATGATACTGTTCTTCCCAATTATAAGTAAAAAAAAAAAAAAAAAATCCAGAGAGGTAGAGTTTATTTTAAAAACATTGACTTTATGATTTGTTTCATTAACTTAAGCTCTGTCCTTTACATTAAAATTAAGTAACTCTACAATATTTTATCCAGATTGTCAGATTGTCTTATTTTACAGAGTTCTGTTAATCTTCCATGTATAGTATCAGAATATTGGACATTTTTTTGATGGCTGGATACAACTTACCCTCAAGCCACAGAGTCCAACATTTAACTGTATCAAATAATATTTAAAGAAAATCAGAGTCTTTATAGCTGAGGCTTTTCCTCACAAAGAATATAAATGTTACTGATAGCCAGAATGACAGCTTTATGAATGAAGTAATTATTGACTTTCATGCTCAGTTTGATCCATCTTTCCGATGACACGTAAGATTTTTGAAATTTTTTGTATGGATAGAATATCCAATTTTTTTTTTTATCAACTCAAGGCTTTTATGGCTTTTATCCACTTTTACATAGTAGAAGAAAATAATTGTGTAACACATGGAAAGAAACCTGAGTTCCTTACCTTGTGAAATTCTGGGTTGCTTGTGAGGGCAATATATTCTGTTCTTTAAAAGGAGACGGTAGCTGGTAATACTCTCTCAGATGATTGTGCTGGGCAGGAAATACTTTCCCTACTTTCCCTGATTTTGGGGGACCTTTTTTTTTTTTTTTTTTTTTTTTGTTAAAAAGATGATGCTTCAAAGGTCAGTGACAAAAAGGGGCCTTTGCTTCTCCCTAAAAGCTCTAGAGCTTGCTTGAAATGGGAGACTCCCAGCCTCAGCACCTTGATGCAGAGTCAACTTCTCTCTCTGTGCCTCTTCTCCTTAAGTAAAGAATAATATGTCTTAAATCTAGTATTTGAGCAAAGTGGTAGGAGACTTTTGGTTGTGGGTTTTTTGGTTTGGTTTGGGTTTTTTTGGTTGGTTGTTGTGTTTTTGTTTTTTTCTGCAGAAGTGAATGTTTGCTTATACAAGATAGAGAACCTGGACAGCTTGAAACTGTTTGTTACAGTATAGGTCCATCTGAGAGACTTCTTCATTCTTTTCCTGCTGCCAGGGTGAAAACTCCAGCAAGTAACATTGACAACCATGGCTAGAAATGCAAAGGTAAGAGCACTTGTCTGAGATACTGGAGATACAGAGCAAACCTTCAGTATGCATAAACTGTGTCTCCCAAATCCCATGTGATGTACATTGACTCATAATATGTACTTTATTGGAGGTAGCTACATGCATTTTTATATGTAGTTATAGGTTGAATTTTTGTCCGTTAGCCAACAACTCTTTTTAGATAAAAAAAAAAAAACATTAAAATTTGCTTTATGTTGGTTTTTTTTGCTGTTTTTGTTTTTGTTTCATTCAACAATATAACTTAATCAAAGATAGCTAAAAATAACCCAGTTTAGCTTACAGAGGAGGTTTCTGTATGTGCTCACTAACTGTAACATTCTGCAATTACTGTGCAGAATGGCTCTAAAGACTTGGAGGTGAACTTTTTTGTTTTTTGTGGATGTAGGGTTTTTCTTTTTCCTTTAGATAGAAGTATAGACTCTATAGAATTGTCTTATAGAAAAAGTGGATAGAGAGATGTCAGCTTACGATTTTGATTAAAAGCGAGCAAAATAATACATTACTTAGTTTGTATGTGTTTAGTATAGACTTTCTTCATTGGAAACTAGTGAAAATTTAAATGTTTGCTAAATTATTATTCACAATAACAAGAAATGTGCATAGGACATATTTGTTTCTTACAGTTTTAGAAACAGTTGATATACTCATTTGTACTTCATAATCCACCACAGTGAAAGCTTAATAGACCATTAAAGAATCGGTGGGAAGTTAATTTTAATATGTAATGGTGTGAGAGGTTTTATTTTTTCCTTAATACAATGAAGCTTCTAACAATTTTATTTGCAAAGAAGATGATTATTTAATAAAGTGACAAACTGTCCCACTGATAGGATACATTAATTTTCTTCTAAAGCTGTTCCTTGTACTCCATAAGAAGGTGATAATTAGGTTTGCAGATTAGAATAACATAATCAGACCACTTGTATGGATGCTTGTTAAAATATATTTTCCTCTTCATATAAGCCTCATAATAATTAAAAACTGTTTAAAAAGAAAACCATTCTTTTTTTGGCATGGACTTTTAAAATGACTCCTAATAATATATCAAGTTATTCTTAAGCTAATTCAACTTTTTAAAAGGTTAATATTTGAAAAAGAATATGGGAAGTGATTAACTGATGAGTTTAAGTATTAGCATTAGGTTTTGCTGGAACACCTACAGTATAAAACAGCACTCATTCATATCCTGATTTAATTTCTTCTACTGCCACTCCTGATTGTTCCATTTAATCTTTCTTAAGTTACATAAAATTATCTTGTATGTGTAAATTAACAATCATTTTCTAATTCCACTGCAAACTTGAAGCACTGTCAGGAGAGAAAAAAAAGATACTGACAGTGATTAATTCTCTCTTTTAAACAAAACTAAATGCAGTTACTGTTGAGATGGAGCACACAGTGACTGGGATTTTGAGTGATTCTAGACTTAAATAAAGGCAATAGAAAAATAACAATGAATGTGCAATGAGTGGTTTACATCTAAACAATCAGATCTTGTGTCTATCACATTGGATCAGTGCAATATCCACTGACCTTAAGTTTTGAAGCTCTCAAGCTAATTTCCTTTGCTTGGGATTTGTGCACTGTTAAATACTTATTGAAACTAACTTCCTGGACTCCTCCAAGGTGAGGATTGTGTGGCTAAGATCATTTAAAGTGCTTTTAACTGTTTCAATTCCATCACTTTTAATAAGATTGATAATTATTTTTTGAATAGTTGAAGCACCTAGAATGAAAGTTTATTCTGGAAAGGAGGGGGAAGGGGATTATTTGTCATTTTGTTTTTGTTTACAACAGACCTGGAATTAGTCTTATAATAAGGAAGAAAACTAATTTTATAGATCTGTCTTCTATCCTATCATTGTGTTATAAATTTTCAAGGTCTGAGAGGTCATGAGAACGGTTACAGTCAGTGTGTTGATACAAAAGGCCTGATTTAAACACTGAAAGAATGGCATGTTCTGTCTAGAAATGATTTCAATTTCAAATAACTTATTGAAAAAAAAAAAAAAGTGTAACATTAGCAAGGATTCACTGAATTATTAAGTATTGCAATCATCTAATTTGTACATATGTTCCTTGAAGCTTGACTCTGCGTGCAAAGTCCCATACATATATTTGATATACCAGCTTAATCAAATTCAGATTGCTGCGGGGACAATTTTTATGGACAAGTAAAAAATAATCAATTTCTTTTTATTACCATTATGGAAGAAGTGGAGGAATATTTTTTCTATTGTGCTAAATATAAATACTGAAAAGAACAAATAATTTACAGAGGGATTGCAATACTGATTTAACAGCACTAGATTAATATTATATACTCATTCGTAAAAGGATTTATAAAATATATTCTTAATATCATTAAGCTTTTTTAATCATCTTTGGTTATCAACTAAATTTTCTTATTATTTGAAGTAAATCATATGACAAAGTATATCCTGTGCTCTAGCCCAGAAAATGATGACTCTATGAGCCTATAGTTGTGTAATTAAAAAAAAAAAAAAGAAAAAAAAAAAGACAGCTTTTCTAAACAGACCTTTCACAATAATAATCATAGTAAATAGCTACTCTGAATGACATTTTTGTGTAACATTTAGGTCAAGATATTTTTGCTTGGACAGAGTGTTAATAATTCATCAAAAATTGATATTTTTAAAAAAAAATCTCAAGCCTACTTAATTGCTCAAGGTAGCAGTCATTAGCAAAGTCCTTCTTTGTTCATGTCCAGGCAAAAAGTAACACAGATGATGTGTTCAAGGGACAGGTATACATACAGACTTGGTCTCCAGATTCCAAAGGTTTTTGATCTTACAACTTTTCAGTATTCTAAGTCAAGCAGCTGAAGGACAGGGAGTGTCCTGGGAAATGCTTTAATGGATTTTGATTGTGATCCTCTTGCAGAATACCATAATTGAAACCTTATTGCAGAAATATGATGGTGTCTCATGAATGTATCTTGTAGGGTGCAAGCATTTTGCCATAGCATTAGTGTTCCTCAGACTAAGAGAACCTTTGTATCCAAGTGAAGAAACCCTATCAACTCTGCATAGTATTGCCTGTATTGGCCTTCTCTATGCTTGAAATATTATTTCAATTTAATTGCAGTTAGATGGTTTATAGAGACCCATATTCAATTCCAAAGCATGTTTGAGCAGTAGGAAAATGAGAAAATGGCTACTGGTCCATCTCTAATTTTAATGTAATATTTACAGCCCTTTATCTTTCAAATTATAATTTGTGCTTAAGAAAGTATTGAAAAGAAATTAAGGAAGATAACTTGAATTTCAGTTGAAGTTGAGTTAATTGCTCCATGTATGACAGCTGCTCCAAAGGTAATGCCTCCTGTTTTGTTAAGCTGAACCACAGTGTAAGAGGCAGATGAGGTATGGCAGTGGAGGTTGTACCTTCTTGCCAATATTCTGGTACATTTTGCTGCCATGTGACAGATGACAGCAAAGGGGCAGTCTGACGGAACAGCATCTACAGGGAAGTGAGTATGAAGCAGAGTGGTGGAACTGAATTCCTCCATGCAGAAAAAGTTGCAGCCATTGATATTCATCAACGCTTGCTGAGCGTTCATGGAGACCAAACAGTGGCTGTGAGCACAGTGAGGCAGTGAGCGATACATTCCAGCAGTGGTGACTGCAACAGTGTCACCTCCACTGGTGCAGATTTTTACAAGAGCAATATGCAGGCTCTTGTTCAGCTCTGCAGAAATGCACAACTAATGGTGGTGCTTATGTTGAAAAATAGGTTTTTGTAGCTGAGAATTTGCTCTATCTAATACAGTTATTGTGCTCTCGTATCTGTTGTAGTTTCCAAGGAAATAAATAGAAAACATTTCTTTTGGAGCGATCTATGTATATTAATAATTTCTCTTTTACATCCCTTGAATATACAAGATATAAATGCTATCCTGAGTCTTCATGTTGCCATGGAGGGCAAAAAGAATATGCCTTCCTAAATTTTAAAATATTAAATATTAGCAAAATTATTGTGGAACTTTAAATGTTAAGATACAGATATGTCACAGAGAGTAATAAGAGAGTTTATCAGGTCACCATGTCTTCTTATTTTAAAGTATTCAAGTATTAACCTTTAGAAAAGGGGAAGAAAAAAAAAAAAAGCCAGATGATTAGGATGTACTTAATTATCTGTTTCTTTAAAAAAGATACAGTCAGGTCCAACCTCATTCAGCTGCCAACACTTGCACAAAGCTGCCAGAGCAAGCTTCTCTGAATACTCAATTGCATTGTCCTAATTTGAGATAAAATAATGCATCTAACTTTACTGTTATCTATAATTGATAGGCACTTAAGAGCGTAATTCATTGAAATCTCACCTTTGGCCCAACCTCTGCCACTCCAGGAAGCAAGATTCATAGCACTTTTCTTTCTAGCTTTATCCAAATCATTGTGCAAGCTTTATAGGGGGTTCAAGCAGTAAATTTTACACAATAAACATACAGAAACCTAGAATGAAGTAGAGTTTTTTAATAACAGAGCCTGCATTTGTTTGTTTTCTCTTTCCTTCTTTCAGGATATATAAATTGGAAGGAAAAAAATAACACTGTTGTTTGGTCCCCTGCTAAGATTAAGCTTTTCTTCGAATGTCATCCATTTTCTAGAACTGTAAAAAATTGAAGAGCTTTGCTCTTTTGACCTGCTAATACATTTCAGTCACAGTTCACTGAGAAAGTGTGACAACACACGTACTGATAACAAGGCAGATTGCTGCATTCCCTTTTTCTTTTTTTTTTTAAATCTGGATATATCAGTATTACTGTGACACCATCTTAACAGATTTGAAATAATGTAGATAATTTATATGAGATTCTTTTCTTTGCTTAATTAAACTAGTTACCTATGAATATATTCAAAGGGATTTTTTTATGTTGTTAGGAATCTTTCTGTGTTTCTAATCTGATATTTTCATTTTGATTTTGTCAATACAAATTATTTAC